CTTGCATTTTTTAAATTTCTTTCTCCTGTGCTTTGCATTGCTTGAAATAAGGCACTGGCAATGAAAAGAAATCAGGAGTCAGCTGAAGTCTTTCCCCATCTGAACCTCACATGTGCTGGACTATGAAATCATTCAGTTAGAAAACAATGTCTAAGCTTTATACCACACAATGCAACCTCTGCAATTTATTGATACAATGTACATTAAAAGTGTAAACTGAACACTAAAAATTCTTGTGCTTGGCATATTTACCTAAAATGTCCATACACCAGAGACTTGATTTCAGATAATCACATGAAGTTAAACCAGTGTAGTTACTTTTAAAAGACCCTGATGAAGATGGGCAGAGATAAAAGAGATGTGGATAATAATCCTTACAAACGAAAGAGTTTTTTGACTGAAGTGTCCTTATAATTGTCTCCATCCTCCAGAGGCTGGCTTAACCAGATACAGGACAGAATCTCAGAAATTATTTCCCAGAATCCCAAAACCATGAAGATACTAGTGTTTAGCAGAAGCAAGTGATTTAATCAATAACACTGCTAGTGATGGAGGAAAGAACAGAACTCTAAAAACTGCATCACTAAATCCCTGCCTAAAGTTTGCTCTGCTGACTTCACAATTACTTTTTTCTGATAACATGACATCATCATTATAATGGGGGAAAAATATATGCTGCCATTTTTTTCAACTGAAAGCCACAACACAAACCCAAAATACTTCAAATATAATTAATATAAGTTAGTCTAAAAATAGGAACACTTTTTTTTATCGATTTATTGACCATGTTCTACACTAATCATAAAAGACAGAAATAGGAGTAAGGTAGAAGGGCTACTGAGAAAAAAAGAAACCTTTTTGTACACTTTTTAAAAAAGCAAAATAACTATAAAACGGGTACTCTAAGCATTTGAAAATGTCAGTACTCTCATAGTTTTGACTGGGCTCTAATGTGATCAACAAACAGACAAATGAATTGTAAAGAAAAATTTAAAGAAAAGTCAGAAGGTAATCGGTCTTGAGAATTAAGGAAAATAAATCCTTATAAAGAAAAGGGACAGAGAAGGAAGAAGTATGACAAGATACAAGCCTAGTCCTAAAGAATTAAGAGAGTATAAGCAGGTGGAGTTAGGAAGAGAGAGAGAGAAAGAGAGGGAGTGTATTTGGGGCTCTTCCAGTTCTTTTAAGTTCCTGGTTAATGAAGAAACTATAAAAAAAAAAATTAACAAAAAGAAACCCTCGGCTTTACTCATACTTCTGTGTGCTTCCCCCATTCCTAAATTTAATAGTTGGACGTGGGCAGGAGGTGAGATTTAAGCTTTATCAGCCTTACCTATCACCACATAGCTGTCAACTCGTGAAAAAGAAAATGTGAAGAGAGTATACTTTAAGAAATAGATTGCTAAAGCAATAGTTCATCAGCAAGCAATGTCAGCTCCACCTACAAAATAAATTCCTAATCTTTACACTAGTTCTCATCTCCCCTCTGGATTACTTGCTCTGATCAGTTTCTTTACTGTGATGTTGCCACAGACCCATGCCACCACTACCAACCTCTGAAAAATAAAAAAACAGGTCATCATTCTGCCTAAGGCTCTCCAAATACCTCTTACCACACTTAAAGCTAACTATCTACCATGCCCTTTAACTCCCTAACCACAGCCTATAAAACCTACACTAGGCCTTTATATATTGCCCTTGCCTACCTCCCTAATTTCCTAGTAATATCATTCAGGGTTCACTATGTAGCCTAATCAGACAGGCCTTCATTTTTGTTCCTGATTACAGCAAGCTCCTTCCTACCGCATCAGAGTCATGATATCCAAAACTCTTGTTGCCCAACCTTGGAATATACTGACCATGGATTGTCCATAACTGACTCCTTCCTATTAAGAAACAGTACAGATTGTCCTTTTCAGGTCACCCCTAACAAAACAGGTAGTGACAACACAAATATCACACCAAACTGTCATCCTGTTTTACAGTCTTCATAAACGTCTCTGTCTGAAACTGTTATTCATTTATTTGTACTGTTTAACAGCCCTCTCTTTCACCTCCCCAAAATCACATACATATGTGCAGGTAAATTCTTTGAAAATGCACATCTTGCTTTCCTTGCACCCTGACAAATCCCCAAACCCAGCAGTGTCTGGGACCCAGTGGAAACTCTTACTATTACTGAATCATAGATATCTCCTAATCCAACCTTTTTCCAAACCTTGTTTCTGCCTTGTATTTCTAGTCCTTGTTCTGTGTCACTTCTCTTTTGTCTGAATTTCTTCTCGTCTTCATTCTGCTTACAGCAAAACAGAGTAAGGAACATAAAAAAGAATGATGTTAATGGCAATGGAAACCTATTTAGCCCATGCTACTGGAAATGTGGTAGCAGGCCACAAAACATGCTTCTCAGAGGTAAAAGCCTTTAGGTTGACCTTTATCAATTAGCACAGCCCTAAAGAGTAGAATTAAGAGGAATTATGGTGGTACCTGAAAAAGTACTATGTGCCCTACGGAAACTCAGAATTTCTTAAAAACTTTAATGTGCAAAAAATTCAGACAGGTTTCCACAGGATCTGGTAATCTGCACTTTTCAACCAACACCACCAGGTGATTCTGATATAGGCAGTCTTTGGAAAGTGAACATTTTATTCAAACAATAAATAGCAAGGGCCAGAGAAATGACATTACCAAAATTAAGCAATAAAAATATTCTTTTTAAAAATCTCTACTATATGGGCCCTCCCTGGTGGTGCAGCAGGTTAAAGCACAGCACTGAGAAGCTAAAGCCACTTCACCATGAGTTTGATCCCAGCCAGCCCCAGAGGTGACACACATGGTGCAGCAGACTTCTCCTGACCCACTCGCTGCTCCCCTCAACAGTGTTCTTCATCACTCCGCCTGTCCTGCTCCCCACTCTGTCTATGATGGATCCTCTCACTGCCCCTGCACCTCTGGCCTGTACCCCCAGCTCTGTATGCATAAACCTTTAAAAACAAAAAAACTGTACTATGAAGTATATTCTCAAGACAACTCAAATTCCATTGTAATATTTGCTGAATATCATTCCATATCACTGGTCTTTGACTATTTAAGGAGCAATTACCACGGTCCAGATTTACACATGCACACACATATAGTTATTTACATGTTTCAAATAAAGAATCCTTTTCTAAAGCAAACCCCATCTCAATCAAAATTGCCAAATATTAAGAATATTTGGTTCACAATTGGCAGGTGGAACAAAACTAATAAATAAAAGTACTGATTTGTAAATAAAGGGAGGGGATGTTTCTCTTAATCACTTTCAAAAAAAAGATTGCTTGGGATTTCTTTACATGGCAAACTTTAAATACATTTATTTTTAATAATTTTTTAAACATCCTTGTTTACTTTTCCACATAATTTAAATTTAAATACCATAATAACAGCATGGCAAACTCTGAAAATAAAGAATCCTTTTCTAAAGCAATAAACCCCATCCCAATCAAAATTGCCAAATTTTAAGGATATTTGGTTCACAATTGGCAGGTGGAACAGTGTTTCTCAAACTGGGCTGGTAAGATGACTGGGAATCAGTTTAAAAGTCTATGCTCCATAGGAAAGACATGGAATCAACCCAAATGCCCAAAAGTAAATTAAAAAGATGTGGTACATATAAACAATGGAATATTACTCAGCAATCAAAAAAGATAAACTCATGCTTTTTGCAGCAACATGGATGGAACTGGAAGAGATCATACTTAGTGAAATGAGCCAGAAAGAAAAAGAAAAATATCCACTCACAGCAGGAGTATAAAGGAGGGGAGTTGGGGGGTGCGAATAAACAACTATATACCAGAGACATTTTACTGGGATGGAGTGGGGAATGGGATCAAAAAGGAGGTGGGAGTAGGGAGTGCACTGGACTATGGTGATGGCACACCGGTGATTTGATGATGGGAAGCCCACGGGGATTACAACTGAGATGGAAAAAGGCACAAAATGATATAAAAATAAACTATCATATTATTATTTTTTAAATTCTACGCTCCACACCAGTTCCTCTGAATCAGAAACTCTGGGGTGTGGCCCTAAAATTTTATTTTTAACAGCTCCCCAGGGGCATGAATTGACAGCTATGTGATGAGTAATTACAGTTCAGAAGAATCTCTTACCTTAACCCCAGCATTTCACAAATAAACTGAAGACCTAAAAGGGTAGAATCTGCCTAAAGATACACGGCTTGCTGAGCAACACAGTAGTCTAGAGAAACAATATCTTGACTCCCCATTTGGTGCTTTTAATACCAATTAAAGATGCTCGGTTTCAAAAAACTATACTTATTTCTGCTCCACTTATGTCTTGCCCATTACTTTAACAGCCATTAGTACAAAGCAAATGGCCTCTGGAGACCAAGCAAAAAACTACTGTGCAGCAGCTTCAGTCCAGGATGCAAACAACAGCTGGGAACTGCTGTACGGAGTAAACCGCGTGATGACCCTCCCACCTCCTAAAAACTAATCCCAGTGGTAGACAGTGGTGCTTAAGCAGCCACGAGAAGCTAAAGTTAACGCAAAGGCCTCCTTCCCAAGGATAAAGTCTCAAGGATAAGGACAGAGGAAGGAGACTGGATGGCTGACCAGGCCTGAGCGGCGCCAGAAGGTTAACGACCCTCTTGCCCTGTTCCTTGTGATGGCCAAGAGCCTCCAACACATCACGAAACAGCTGCCGGAAGTGCGTCCTCAGCCTCCTGAGCATGCTGGGAGTTGTAGTTAAATGGCTATTTCTCTTACGCCTCAACTCACTTTGATTTTTTTTACAACCAAGCAAATACCTAGGAAGCCTAAGGAAAGTGGTTGTATAACCAACAGCTCTACTCTCTTTCCCCTTTGCAGCTAACAACGGAAACTCTTGCAGAGCTAAAAGGCATGCCAGACTACAAGTCCCAGCATGCTATGCAGGTGCCCCACAGCTCCCGGCCACCGTCCTAGGTGCTGGCCGCATGAATGGAGCGGCGGGCGTAAGGCAAAGCCTGCCAGTGTCCGCGCTCCAGCTACCTGCTCCCGGAGCGTGAGTGCGGGTTGTGGGCCGTGCGCGTGCGCGCTCCGAGGGGGCGCGAGGCGGGCGCTCCAGGCCGTTGTGCGCGCGTGCTTGCTGAGGTTGGCTGCGGCGGTGCCGCGCGCCCGACCAGCGGGTATTTGCGGGGCCTCCTGCCTCGCTCGAGGCTGCTGGCAGCCGTGGCGGCCGCCGGTGACCAAAAGGGGAGGAAGAAAACAGGGGGCGGAGGGACCCGGTCTCAGCGTGCAGAGGAACAGCTGAGCATGCCCCGAGACAACATGGCCTCCCTCATCCAGCGGATCGCCCGCCAGGCGTGCCTCACCTTCCGGGGCAGCGGGGGCGGCCGCAGCTCTTCCGACCGCGGCGCGGCGCCAGGCCCGGAGGCGCCGATGCCGCAGGGCTTCCCAGAGAATCTGAGCAAGTTGAAGGGCCTGCTAACCCAAGTCCGCGCCGAAGACCTGAACATAGCCCCACGCAAAGCCACGCTGCAGCCGCTGCCGCCCAACCTGCCCCCGGTCACCTACATGCACATCTATGAGACGAACGGCTTCAGCTTGGGTGTGTTCCTGCTCAAGAGCGGCACGTCCATCCCGCTGCACGACCACCCGGGCATGCATGGCATGCTCAAGGTGCTCTATGGCACCGTGCGCATCAGCTGCATGGACAAGCTAGAAGCGGACAGCGGGCAACAGCCACGGGCCCCGCCACCAGAGCAGCAGTTTGAGCCGCCTCTGCTTGCCCGAGAGCGAGACGCTCTGCGGCCGGGCGTGCTGCGCTCCCGGGCGGAGTACACCGAGGCCAGCGGCCCCTGTGTGCTCACGCCGCACCGGGACAACCTGCACCAGATCGACGCCGTGGACGGACCTGCCGCCTTCCTGGACATCCTGGCCCCGCCCTACGACCCAGACGACGGCCGTGACTGCCATTATTACCGGGTGTTGGAGCCCGTCAGGCCCAAAGAGGCATCAGGCTCAGCCTGTGACCTGCCCCGAGAAGTGTGGCTCCTGGAGACCCCGCAGGCCGATGACTTCTGGTGCGAAGGGGAGCCCTATCCAGGTCCCAAGGTCGTCCCTTGAAGCCGCTGCGTCCCGAGCGTGCCCTTCTGAGATGGCCTGACTGTCTGCAACCCACCAAAAGGGCTCTCTTCCCTACCCCCAGGCTCTGGCATCGGATCTACTGGTGTGGGCAGTTGGCGCTTCCTGGGGAGCCCTGGGAAGCTCGGGCGACTGTACTGCAGACACCAGGCACGGTTACGGGGCGGGGGAGGCAAATAGGCCAGGTTGTTTCCTGGCTGTCACTGCCACCGGGGTTTTGATTGGGGTGGGGGCGGGGTGGATGGGGGGAACTATCTGAAGCGCTTCCTTCCTAAAGCCATAATGAAAATACTCGTCCCTCTGTTCCTTCTCCTATACAAAGTACCCTAAATGATTTTCTACAACCTCCTACTCCTCGTTCTTGGGTAAATAGGGGTTCTCCCCTCCCCTCGCCCCCACCTTTGTCCTTAAGCCCTTTTACTCCTTATTGTTAGTTTTAAGTTATTGACTGTGCATGGTCCAGTGGTTTGAATTGTTTTTACTTTAAGTCACTGGTAATAGTCTTAAAGAAATGAGCTAATGTTTCAGATGAGCTGTCCTGTCTAATTAATTCCTTGTGAAAGTTAAATCATTTTTGTTAGTTGGAGGATTACCCCCAAAACATAACTAACTATGCATGTAGAGGAAAAGATGTTTTTTTTTTCCTCCCCTTGCCCAATAAGCCACATCTGGTTTATTCTGGCAGCATCTACTAAGTGATTCAGCACCTCCATATCTCAGTGGTAAATAGTTAACTTTGAGCTTATCTTCCCCATGAGTGTCCAGATCAGATTTCTTGCTGTAGATTCACCTTTAATGCAAAAGTTATATTACCCTCAAGTGAGTTTTTTTTTTCTTACTGTACTTTTAAGAGGTGATAGGGTACCTCTGTATTTTTTTTTTAATCAGAAGATTCAGAAGAGCTGAATCAGTATGCTTCCAAACAACTGAATGTAAAACACCCCTGGCCAGCTTTTGAACTTCATCCCCCGTTTTAACTTATAGTATTTTTTGGCGAAAGTAGAGAAAAATATTGTTGATGACTGTTTCCCATTCTCTTAGATGCTCTAATATTCCAGAGGGCTGCTGATTCCAGCTGTGTTGTTGGTAGCAGTGTTCTTAGAATCTTCTCTCTCAAACAGGACAGAACCAGTGCTAGCTTCACCTGGTGTGGTTTTCTGTAGGAAGAAAGAGAAGACACAGGTGATCAGCCCTTGAGAATTGAGAATTATCGATACTACTGGCCATTTTAGGGCACCAGAACGTGGGACAAACACTGAGGCCACTCCCATTCTCTGAACTGAGCAGTTGTGCTATGACTAGTTTTATTTTTGTCCTTTTAATTGAATGATCGACTTTACCTTGTTTACACATGTATTGATACCATTTGCTTGGAACCATAGAGCACTGTTTCCCCTGTTTTCTATTTATAGGAATCCTTTTCACAAAACCTAATAAAAACAAACTAGAAATAAACATTAAAATTTGCCCAGCTGTCATCTAAGCCCTTTTGATTGACTTCCCCATGTGGCAGTGAAGTTCTGTTTTCTATAATAAAGAGAAATTTGCTATTGGTGGAAAGTGTTGACCCTTTAAAAAAACAGCATACTTTTGCCTCTTGTACGCTCACCAGGTTGCAGAGCACACAGCAAAGGAATATTTATTTCCAATTTTTAAAAATAGAATGTAAAAGTAAATTTTTGATGACTATTTAACCAAAAGAGGCTTATTCAACCTGACATTACCACTATGTTGTAAAATCTGACAAAGTCATAATGCCTAGCATTTCTTCCAGGTTGCTCAAACTTTTATGTTAGCTTCACATTTTGGTGTGTTCTATTATACCTTGAGAGCAGTTTGAAGCATTCCTCATGCCCTTCAGCTTGAAAAATGAATTTTAATGTGCAAATGATGATTTTCCTAGAAAAATTCATAGTGTGGATTCTTTTCATACAGCAATGAATATGTATGCTTATCATATACCTACCTGTTTTTGAATTATATTGTAGCAAAAAGGTCGATTAATTAAAAAGATTGTTGATAGTGATGTGTAATAATACAATCTAGAGTACATTTAACCTACAAGAATTCTAGCAATAGGACAGTAATATAGGAGGGGTTGATATTCAAAACTTTATCATGAAAAGTTCTCAAGTACACGCAAGTTGAATGAAAAAAAGGTGCTTTTCAAATGAATAATTGAAAAATTTGCAAGCTGAAACAGCAATATGATATTTTTAGTTTAGTAAGAACAGTGAAACTTTTGGCTGAGTAAGAAATGTTAGTTAATGGTGAAAACAAAATGTAACTTGTTTTTTAGTGAACTGTTTTGGGAAAAATGTTCTTATCACAAACAAAATACGGTGCAGCAACCCTTGCACCTCTGCTGAAACTGTTAGTCATGACTGACTTGTGCTGCTATTGTGTTTCTATATATTCCTGCAATATAGACTTTGTTTTATTAACAACTGTGGGAAAAAAAATTGTCTTCCCCTACAAAAGACTAATGAGCACAGTACTACTAATCACTTTCCTACTGAATAACAAATGCAATAATTGCCTCTGTGGATGAGAAGTTGTCTGTCTGAAAACTTTTTAATTCTCTGGTATATCATGAGGATTACATCAATGGAGAGTGTTGTGTACCTACCTACTACTTTATAAGAATTGATTTTTAGTAAGCCTGATTTACATGGATTGCGTGTACACCAACTGCTGTTTATGAATGAAAATGGTGGGCCTATTTTTTACATGTTTTGTCAACAGGAGTGGGTTCTCCAACATTTTAACTTGAATAGCCCTTAACTTCTTCCAAAATCATACCTTCTAGTCCTTTTGCACAGTCCCTTTGTAGCTTCCTCAGTCTTGGCATCTCAGGAGGACGTTGTCATCATTCATCTATTCCGGTGACTTTGAATCTAAAAAGAGCAATATATCTTTAATTCAGGGCTTCCTGCCCATTGCTATTCAACTCTACCCTGAGGACAGAGCCACTGCTACAACTGTCCTGGTCTGAAATCAGTACTGAAGGTTCCAAAAAGAAGCTGAAACCACTGCTCCTTTCAGTGGTGTCTACTGTCAAAAAGAAGAAAAACATTGCTGAGCCCCATATAAATACCGAATCTTAAGTTCCAGGGATATTTATTTACATTTCTGGGGATAAATCAGTGTATTTATGGGAAATAAAGGCATGTTTGGAAGTGCTTAGAGGTAAATCTTCTTGCAAAATGGAAAACGAAAGTATTACTTGCTAAGATGTCTACATTTTAATTACTGTTAAAGGTTCATGGTCTCTACTGTGTATCTATATTGAGTTACCTTCTGCAGAATCTAAAGTTCAAGTAATAATATTACCTTCAGTCTAATAATTATTTCCTTGAGAGTATATTTTGAAATAGTTGAATTGTAGACACACCCAAAACTATTTACTGTCTAATCATACTATTTTGCGATAACAGAATAAACTTTTATATTTAACTTAAGGAAAATAAACTTATTCCAGAAAACAAAACTACTTTCATCTGTGAAGGTAAGAAATTTTAGACTAGATTTTTTTTTTCTTTTTCTGTGGAGTTTAACTGTAGTTTGCACTGGAAGCCTTGTCGGCATCTGTATTGCCCACCCCGATACTGGACTGAACTCTTACTGTCACTGTGGGCACTTTTAATATATACCAATTTTCCTAAATTTCATCATCATTTAGGATATTGAAACAAATCTCCTGGTTTATGAACAATAACAAAACCTTAATTAGGTTGAACAAGCCTGTTTTTAATGTATATTGAATCACTGCAGATGGGTTACAATCTTTAAGGAATTATTCACCCGAAGTTTACTTTTAATAAAAATGCCTATTAACAATGATGAGATAAAGCATATCACATATAAGAAAGCAGATTTTGCTTTATGCTTTATTTCTTGAGCAAAGTTAAAAAGAAAAAGAAAAAAGAAAAAAGCCTTAAAAAGCACCTGAAATGTTTCAAGCAAAATGATTAACGATTGACCTAACAATGAAATCAAGCAGTGAAAGCCACAAGGTTGATATTATACCACTTCACCAAGCCCATGTATCAGAGTTGAAGTGATTATATAATTAATTTTGACTATAGTCTGTATTCAGTCTCACTTTCAAAAATAGCTTTTGGAGGCTTGTTTACATCTTGATTAAAGGTGCTGTGAAATCTAAATTATATATATATATATATATATATATATAAACAAAATTCAGTTATATTTTAAATTTCAATAGGACAGAAGTATTCACTAAAAATATGTAATTACCAAGCTGTAGTATTGTTTCGTATATTTTAACAAAATTGGCCCCAGCGAGGATAATATTCTGACAAGCTAGGAAACAGGAATTTAATGGAATAACTACCAGTCTCTAGAACAAATCTGTCACTGAAATTGAGACTTGGTCTTTAGTAGTTCCAGAAAAAGACACTCTGCATATTTGAAATAGAGGAAATAAAAACTGTGTTAGTGAACCTCATAAGTTAGTTCTCACATTCTGGAACTGGCCAGGGTAAAAGTACAGAGGTAACTCTGCTGCTGTCATTAATCATCCGCTAGGTGTGAGGAAGTCCTAAAAGTGACAAAGGACAGATGAGAAGGGTTTTTCAATGACAGCTCAGCAGAGGGTACTACAATATTTTAGCCTATAATCATCCAGAAGCAGTGGGTGAACTCAAATATTTAGGACCAGTTTTAGAGTCAGGATAAGTTACGAAACCTTTTTCTTTGTATGATAGGTGGATAAACACTTAGTGAATTTATATTTTAAAATCATTTCAAAAGACTTGCAGTAGAATAAACCTTAGCGAACAAACCATTATCCAGGACCATGGAGAACAAGATTTGCCTATTGAAATTGTCTTTCATTGTCCTTAGGCTCATGCACACTAATTTAACGAACTAGATCTTCTAATATTTTCTAGACCTAATAAGCTTGTGGTAAATAAATGATCCTTCCAAGTAGGGGTAATCAATGGGTGAGTGAAGCCTAGAGAGAAATGAATCCGGGGTAATTCCTTTGACAACCCGTTAATGCTGTCATCAGCGGTGTCTCAGAGCATCTTTGATCTGAAGGTGTAATAGCAATTTTCAAAAAGTTTTCTGTGGTCATGAGACTAATCCTGGAACCTGAAAGTCATTTCCAGCTTGACCACGCCACCACCACACTTTCCACAAAGCCACATCTTCTCTGAGTTCGTAGCCCTGGTCAGGTTTCTGAAAGCAGCCACAAATGTGTAATCTCCGAGTGGGCACTTGTTTGTAAGTTATTTATTTTCCGGAGCCCACTCAGGAGCGGAGAAAAGCTATAGGCTGTTCTAGAGGACGGAACAATGAGTCAAAACAACGCCTCCCCACTTTTACACTAATGCATGGGGGAAATCCCTGGAACACTAGTGTTTGATTATGAATGGAGATTGCTTTGGGGTAAGAAGGCTAGCAAAGAAAATTTGGGTATCCTGGCTGGCTCCAAGCAAGAAAACCCACTGGTGCTAGGTGCTGTTGTTTAGCCGTTCCACTGAATTGTTTTTGTATAACCACTGAATTCCCACTCAGTACATTTTTCATAAATGATTTTTGCAGCAAAATATTGTTGAAAAGTATTTATTTACACTATAGCCATAAACCATCCATTATCTGAACTTCAGTTAGTGGTTTTGCGTTAGAATAAATCATTTTTATTTTCACAACTATTAAGAGCTAATAACCAAACAATTCAGCTCCAGTAACATTATGTACATTCTTATCAGCAATTTGACTACAAAGGTAACACTTTAAGTCACAAAACAGCATACAAAAATATACTTTCTAAAAAAAAGTCCAAATATTAATAGGCAGAAATATACAGCCATACTAAACCCAGGGAGTGATTTTTCTTCCATAGTAAGGCAACCCATTTACATGCAGACCCTGTAACATTGTCTACATCACACAAGGCACCAAAGGACACTTCTGACACAATTGCATGCATCCAAGTTTCAGAGAATCTATGTACATCCCTTTTAAATAAGTTAACCTCTGACATTTCAAGAAATCATAAACGCTTTACTTTTTTTCCCAAAGGTTCAGAACTTGGAGAACAGTGCACATCAAAAATACACAATATCTGAGTTGATATACACTGAAAAAATAGTCTTAACGTTTTTCAAACAATTCAAAAAGGAGCAGATATTGCTATGTCCCTCCCATCACATTGCACTTCTGTTCTCTGAGTTTATAATACATATTGCTGAAAGGGCTGAGACGACTAGATAAGCTTTGACTCACTGTTCTAGGGCCACAGAATGCAGCATAAAGGCCATGCTTCACTTGTACAGCATCCCCCAAATCAGTCCCAAGACATAAAGTGCACATCAGTTTCGCTTCTGTCTTTTTGCTGTCCACCTGAAGGAATCAGCATCTCCCAAACCTACTGTAGAAAAAGTCTCGGATCAACTCTGACATCCAGAGCCAAAAACCTGTAACCAGGCAAAATCAGAGGGGTGAGGGGAAGCAAAACCTAGTCAAATGAGCCTTAAATAAGGGTCAGATCTCAGCCCCCTAGGCCAGGGGCCCCATGCAACCCCCTTGTAAGCCTCCCCACTGCCTTAGGGTGATAGTCAGCTCACCCAAGAGAGCCTAAAGCAGGCTAAGTTTTAGGAAGGACCTGTTTCTAAATGGGGTGGGGGGGAGAGGTGGAGGGGCAGTGCTGGGCTCCACTAAAGTCCTTTGCCCAAGGGAGGGAGGGAGGGAGTGGCAGGAAAGGGTGGTAGTGTTTGTCGTGCAGCTCTAGTGGAAGAGTAGACGAAGGGCCTCAAAGGCGCTGTTATAGCAACCTGAGTCTCATCTCAAGGTGTCCGGGTCCGAGAGGAGCAAGGGGCAAGGGGCCCTCCACCAATAGAACTGCTGTTGCTGCTGCAAAGGGGCCCCCCAGCCTGAGTGCCCCCAGTGCAGGAAGCTGCAGAGGCAGCTGGCATGGAAGACGAGGGGGCACTACTTTTACGCTCCTTCTGTCTCAAATGGATTTTGGTGTGACGCTTCCTCTCATCACTCCGGGCAAACTTGCGGCCACAGTAGTCACAGGCAAAGGGCTTCTCGCCGGTGTGGGTGCGGATGTGGGTGGTGAGGTGGTCACTGCGGCTGAAGTTGCGCATGCAAATCCGACACTGGAAGGGCTTGTGCCCTGTGTGGATTCGGATGTGCCGTGTCAGCTCATCAGAGCGGGAGAAGCGCCGGTCACAGCCTTCTGCTGGGCATGGGTAAGGCCTCTCATGCACTGGGGTCTTGCTGGGCCTATTGGGGTACTTGCGAGGCCTTAGAATGGGCCGCAGTGGCAGGTGGTGTGGGTTATAGGCCGCGGCCGCTGCTGAGCTGCCACTAGGCAGTCGAGGTCCCTCGCTGCCTCCACTGGCCCCTGGCCCTGTTGCCCCAGCACTGGGGCCCCCCAGTGTAAAGTTGCGGATGGTGGAGAGTGGAGTGAGCGGAGGGGGGACTCTCAGGGAGTCCAGAGGGCAAGGAAAGGGCTTGCGGTCTGGGCCAGCTGCACCATGTAGGTCTCTCTGGCACTGTGATGGGAAAAATCCAGGATAGTCTGGGATCATGGGAAAGAGACCTGGGTCCGTGGCTGGCTTGGGGGATGGATAGGAAGGAGGTGGTGGGTAGGCCAGAGAGGAGGAGGTGGAGGTCGTGGCTGCTGACAGGAACGCTGCAGGGTCTTGGTAGAGGTCTCCTGCACAGCCCGAATAAGGAGGAGGTGGCGGCGGAGAGTAGAGATGGTCCAAGTCAGTCTGGGTCTGAGACATGGTGCACACACCCAGGGGTCCCGTAGCCAGTGGATTGGGGGAAGCAGAGGTGACGCTGGATGAGGCTGTGGTTGAAGCTGGAGAGGTGACCCCTTGCAAGATGCCTGCGCTCACAATATTAATGATGCCTTCTGGGTAGCAGCTGGCACCAGGGTACTGGGGGTCAATGGAGAACTTGCCCATGTAAGTGAAGGTCTGGTTTCTGGGTGCAGAGACAGGAGCAAAGCTGCTGGGATATGGGAGATCCAAGGACCTCTTCTCTCCAGTCATGTCAATGTTGATCATGCCATCTGGGGAAGGAAAGAAAGAATGGAGGTGGACCAATGAGAAGGTAGCCAAGAATTTCTTCTCAGTCTCTTTCACAGGGATCTACTCCCAAACCCCAGGGTCCTAGCACTGTAGGGCTAGGGGGAGTTCAATTGGTGGGGAGTTTGCAGCCCAGAAACAGAGGCCGCTCGCAAATCCTTCAGTGGCAATCAGTAACAGTCTGGGACTCAAGAACTACCTCCAGGAAAGCATGATGAGCTACTCCACAACGCCCCCCACACTCACAGCCATCTGTGATTCTAGTGCCCAATAAAAACATCCAATAATAGCAACAACAATATTAAAAATTCCCCATCTGCCTGGAACTTCTCTCTCTCTTTCTTTTGCCTGGAGGTCCCATGGCTGGGAGGCACCATCCAAGTGATAAGATCCCCATCACTGTCCAGAAGGTGCCGGTAAGAAAGGGAAGCCCAGGATAGGGGCCAGTGATTTCCAGGCAACTCCCTATCCCGGGTTCACTCTCCCTCTCCCGCTGCGCTGCAGCAGCCAAAGCCTGCAGGTGGGAATTGGGTGCTGTGAAGGAAGGAGTCATGGTCTGACAATCGCACGTCCCTGCGCCAACCCAAGGCCAGCGGCAGGGCTTCCAGGAAGGCGCGGGGCCGCGGGAGACGTCCCTGGCAGAGCGGGCAGCCCCATGGGTCTCCCTTGGCAGCCGGGGACCGCTTGCCGCTGTTGCCCGCCCTTCCTCTCCTCTTCCCTGCCTCGCCAACTCGGCAACCCCCTCAACTACGCGGGCAGCAAACAGGTAGGACGCTCTTTTAGGTCGCAACCCTGGCAACACAGAATTCCCCCAGGTCTGCTCTGCGGGAGAAGGAGAGGCGCACGCTTTCCCCGGGAGCATCTCCGCGGTTTGGCTCTTAAGAAGCGCAGCTCTCCTCCAGAGCCTCGAAGTTTCCTGGCACTTTGCCCTTAACCCGGGAGAGGGGAGTTAGGCAGGTCGGATAACTGAAGGGTCAGCCCAAATCCCAAAGTCCAATGGGACACCTCTTCCACTCTCATCCCTGCGCCTGCCTGGGGGTACGCACGCCGCGGCGCACGCACGCCGGCTACCCGGCGACCTGGGATATCTACCCACGTGCCCACCTTCAGCGCCTGGGTCCCCGCTTCTGCGAGCTCATCCAGCACCCCCTTACAGTCTTCAGAGCTAGTTCAGTCAACATCCTCCACCTCGCGCCCCAACGCTCTCCTCCAAGTCCTGCACAAGCGCCGCACCCCATCTACTACCTCCGAGTTGCGTGGGTATCGGCCCGAACAGGGGGGTCCCCGGCTTACCTCCGGTCACTCCGTTCATCTGGTCAAAGGGACCTCCCAGTTCGGCATTAGGGAAGATGGTCACCGACGTGGCGGCGAGGTCTTCCACCGGGTAGATGTTGTCAGACAGCTGGTGCACAAAACCACTGAGAGTTACTGGGATTTTGTCTACGGCCTTGGCAGTCATCATTTGTTCCTCGCACAACCTGGAGACCCAACTCCCTCGCTACCTGGAGTGCCAGAGAAGCCGTTTTGGAGAGGAATTGGACTGAACCTATGTAAGTATCTCCTTTTGCCCTCCACACTTAAAAGCAACCACCAAAAAAAAAAAAAAAAAAATCCAACAGAAATAAAACTAGCAAACAAGTTGCTGTTTTTTTTAAAAAGATGAAAAATGGCTATTTGCCACTGACTTTCTCCTATGTTCCGGCTGATAAGCCAGGAGTTGTCGGTGTAGTGTTATTATAACAGTCAGTGTGTCCCCTTGCCGAGCTATTAATCAATTGCTGCTGCTCTCTCGGTTAGACGGAAAGTGTTGCTCTAAGTATTTATGGGCAGGCCTTCAATGCCCGTGACGTCGCTGCCCATATATGGACTGAGGAACAGGGCTGGGCCAGGCGGCTTTTGCCGTCACATGGCCTATTTGCATATGACTCCTACCCCGCCAGGGTCCACTCGGGTCTGGGGTGCGCTGCCCGAGCCTGTGCCGGGGTCCAGAACTCTGAGCCGGGCGAGGAGGGGGCGCGCTGCAAGCGGGGTTCAGATCCCTGGAAGAAAGCGAGCAGGTCGCGGCCGCGGGGCGGCCTCCCTCAGAGGGAGGAATTCCGGTTACCCAGGACTTTCCAAAAAAGGCGAAGATCCGGTGCGGGTGGCTCCGCCTCCCCAGCCCTTGTTTGGGAGACATTCCGGAAAAAAAAAACTTCGGAAAGAAACCGAGCAAAGCCGAGACTACAGTCAAACCCCTACTCACTTTCTTGGCAGCTCAAAACCGCAAGCAAAACGAGGCAGCAAAGAAAAAAAAAAAAAAAGCTGCATGCATTCACGGAAGCTGACTGCTTTTTTCTGAATTAGTTGGTGGAAAGTGGCTGGTGATAAGAGTGAATGCGGTATAGCTTTTTTGGAAAGTCTGTTCTATTTATACAGGAGCGAAAACGGAACAGGTTTGGGGTTGTTTGTTTGTTTAAGTATTTTGGGCACCTTGAAGCAGGTGGGGGGCGGGGGAGACCCCAGGAGAAGGAGGATGAGTGTGGGGAGCTTCGAGAGAACTCCTCAGCTGGAGACACCCCCTTCCTCTGCCCGCCCGCTCCCCGCCCCCCTTCAGCTGCTGCACTAAGCCGGCGCCCTTCCCGGCGCGTCTGGGCGGTCGGCTGTGTGGGGGCGTCCAGATGGAAGCTTGGACACTCACCCTGCCCCACCACACGCTCGCTCGCTCGCGCGCGCGCGCGCGCACACACGAACACACACACACACGCTTTTACACTAAGACACGCTCACTTCCGCTACACACACTCTCGCCCCCGCTGACTTCTTCACACACCCACTCGCACACCTTACGCTACACACCTCCCTGTTGACAGCGCGTTGGTGCGCCCGCCTAGACAACCGAGTACCCAGGCGTCAGAGCTGGCGCTCGGGCTCTCTGGACAGGGTGGCCCGCGAAGACACTCAACCTCACTCAGCCAGTACCGGCCACTGCAGCAGCTCCTGACCCCTCCCACAACCGAGGGGTGCGTCCCTCTCCCACCCGAGTCCTACTCCAGAACACGTCCATCAGGGGAAACAGTCTCTTTTCCTCGCCACGAGCCACCTCGATGTGCCCAGCGAGGTCCTGAGTGACAGTAAACAGCATCGCTAGCTCCAGTTTCATCATCCCACCCAGGTTTTCCCTTTAAGAATGAAAAAAACTGATCCCAATGGAAATCTCTGTCTAGTTTCAAAGCAATTTTTAAAAACTTCTGAAAAGTCCACACAGCAGCGGATTCTGGTTTGCTGCGTGCACGGCTCCCTTCTCCCAGTGCTCCGCGGCCCTCACCGGGAACCACCCGCCTGGCCAGGGTCCCCTAGGAGAGTGATCCCCCAAGTACCCAAATTCCGCGCGCCGCCGCGGGCCCGGCCCTCTCCCGCCCCATCGCCGCTGTGACTGGGACACAGCTCCCAGGCAGCCTAGAGGCCCGACCCAGCCCTTGCCCACCCTCTTCGCGAACGGCCCCAGCCTCGAGGGGGCCCGCGAGGGCGACAACCACGGCGCCACGCCGTGGAGGAAGCGCGGCGCTGCAGGCGGCTGTCCCGCCGCTCACCTGCAGCGGCCGCCGCCTCAGCAAGCCCGCTCCCGCCGGTCCCGCGGGCGGCGGTCAAGGCCCCGGGCCGCCGAGATCCGCTCTTTCTCCTCCACCCAAGCACCGCTTCTCCCCCAGACCGCTGCGAAATCTGTCATCCAGCGCCCAGCCATCTTTCTGACTTCAAACGCCCAGAGAAAATTTGGGAAAGTTTCTCTCTCGCACTGAGCGCCCTTTTCCAATGGTAGATTTTTAAAAAGGGGAAAGAAAGGAACTGGTAGCAAGGTTAGCCCCCTTGTAAGTATCTCGCCCCTGTCAAGGAGGTGCAATGTAGCGTTTTCAAAAAGAAGGCAAGGAAGCTGCGCTCTTACCACGTGCGCCAGCCCGCTCCGCCTGCGCTCCGGCCGGTCCCGCGGCCCCCGCGCTGACCACCGGCAAGACGACGCCTCGGAGGGGAGCCCGACTCGCATCTCCAGCCCTGAGTCCGAAAGAAGTGGGGCGCGAATTATGCAAATGTAGGTCGTGGCAGTGGGGCTCGGGTTACGGCCCCCGCAGACCTCCGAGGTGAGGCACTCACGGCGGCAAGCGCGGGCGCCGCGACTGCTGGAGCTTCGCTCCTCTTCACGCACGTGGGCGGGCGGGC